TTTATGGTTTCAGGGCCCAGCGTTTAGGGTTTCAAGGCCTCAGGGCCTCAGGGCCTGTGTTTAGGGTTTTCAGGGCCCAGCGTTCAGGGTTTCAAGGCTTCAAAGCCTGTGTTTAGGGTTTCAGAGCCTCAGGGCCTGTGTTTAGGGTTTCAGGGCCCAGCGTTTAGGGTTTCAAGGCTTCAGGGCCTGTGTTTAGGGTTTCAGGGCCTCAGGGCCTGTGTTTAGGGTTTCACGGCCCAGCGTTTAGGGTTTCAAGGCCTCAGGGCCTGTGTTTAGGGTTTCAGGGTCTCAGGGCCTGTGTTTAGGGTTCAGGGCCCAGCGTTTAGGGTTTCAAGGCTTCAGGGCCTGTGTTTAGGGTTTCAGGGCCTCAGGGCCTGTGTTTAGGGTTTCAAGGCCCAGCGTTTAGGGTTTCAAGGCCTCAGGGCCTGTGTTTAGGGTTTCAGGGCCTCAGGGCCTGTGTTTAGGGTTTCAGGGCCCAGCGTTAGGGTTTCAAGGCCTCAGGGCCTGTGTTTAGGGTTTCAGGGCCTCAGGGCCCTGTGTTTGGGTTTCAGTCAGCGTTAGGGTTTCAAGGCCTCAGGGCTGTGTTTAGGGTTTCAGGGCCTCAGGGCCTGTGTTTAGGGTTTCAGGGCCCAGCGTTTAGGGTTTCAAGGCCCTCAGGGCCTGTGTTTAGGGTTTCAGGGCCTCAGGGCCTGTGTTTAGGGTTTCAGGGCCCAGCGTTTAGGGTTTCAAGGCCTCAGGGTTTAGGGTTTCAGGGCCTCAGGGCCTGTGTTTTAAGGGGTTCAGGCCATCGTTAGGGTTTCAAAGGCCTAGGGCCCTGTTTTTAGGGTTTCAGGGCCTCAGGGCCTGTTTTTAGGGTTTCAGGGCCCAGCGTTTAGGGTTTCAAGGCCTCAGGGCCTGTGTTTAGGGTTTCAGGGCCTCAGGGCCTGTGTTTAGGGTTTCAGGGCCCAGCGTTTAGGGTTTCAAGGCCTCAGGGCCTGTGTTTAGGGTTTCAGGGCCTCAGGGCCTGTGTTTAGGGTTTCAGGGCCCAGCGTTTAGGGTTTCAAGGCCTCAAAGCCTGTGTTTAGGGTTTCAGGGCCTCAGGGCCGGTGTTTAGGGTTCCAGGGCCCAGCGTTTAGGGTTTCAAGGCTTCAGGGCCTGTGTTTAGGGTTTCAGGGCCGCAGGGCCTGTGTTTAGGGTTTCAGGGCCCAGCGTTTAGGGTTTCAAGGCCTCAAAGCCTGTGTTTAGGGTTTCAGGGCCTCAGGGCCTGTGTTTAGGGTTTCAGGGCCCAGCGTTTAGGGTTTCAAGGCCTCAGGGCCTGCGTTTAGGGTTTCAGGGCCTCAGGGCCTGTGTTTAGGGTTTCAGGGCCTAGCGTTTAGGGTTTCAAGGCCTCAGGGCCTGTGTTTAGGGTTTCAGGGCCTCAGGGCCTGTGTTTAGGGTTTCAGGGCCCAGCTTTTAGGGTTTCAAGGCCTCAGGGCTGTGTTTAGGGTTTCAGGGCCTCAGGGCCTGTGTTTAGGGTTTCAGGGCCCAGCGTTTAGGGTTTCAAGGCCTTCAGGGCCTGTGTTTAGGGTTTCAGGGCCTCAGGGCCTCAGGTCTGTGTTTAGGTTTCATGGGGCCCATCTTTAGGTTTTCAAGGCCTCAAAGCCTAGTGTTTAGGGTTTCAGGTCCTCAGGGCCTGTGTTGGGGTTCCATGGCCCAGCGTTGAGGTTTCAAGGCCCTCATGCCTGTGGTTTAGGGTGTTCAGGCCTCCGGGCCTGTGTTTTAGGTTTCAAGGGCCCAGCGTTTAGGGTTTCAAAGCCTCAAACCTGTGTTTAGGGTTGTCGGCCCGCGGTTGGGGTTTCAAGGCTCAAAGCACCGGGGGTAGGGTTTCAGGCTCAGCCTGTGTTTAGGGTTTCAAGCCAGCGTTGGGGTTTCCAAGGCTCAGCTTGTTTTAGGGTTTCCGGGCCCATCAGCCTGTGTTTCAGGGGTTCAGGGCCGCAGCGTTTAGGGTTTCAGGGCCTCAGGGCCTGTGTTTAGGGTTTCAGGGCCCAGCGTTTAGGGTTTCAAGGCCTCAGGGCCTGTGTTTAGGGTTCCAGGGCCCAGCGTTTAGGGTTTCAAGGCCTCAAGGCCTGTGTTTAGGGTTTCAAGGCCTCAACGCCGTGTTTTTTCAAGTTTCAGGGTTGACCAATGTTTTTCAATGTTTTTTTGAGGTTTTTCCATGTTTCTTCGGGTTTTTTCAAGGTTTTTCTGAGGAAGGGCTGCCCCCGCGACCTTTTCACAGCCTAATTTCGGTCAAGGGGGGGTCGTATTTTTGAATTTTAAAGGCAAAATAGTCTTTGGAGACCCTCCTTGCCTCAAACTCCGACCCCCCCTTGAGAGGGAAAGTTTGCCTCAAAAAACACCCGAAAAGGGACCTCAGGCTTGGCCTAGACCCGCAATGAAAATGCGAATTTTTAGTACTGAAATCGAGGGTTCTGGGTGGCCTCTCGTTTTCTGGGTTTTTGTGTTTTTCAAGTTTTTCAAGACTTTTCCGCGACCTTTTTCATAATGATTTTGGTCAGGGGGGGGGGGGTCATTTTTCGATTTTAAAGGCAAAATAATCTTCGGAGACCCCCCCTTGCCTCGAACTCCGACCCCCCCATGAGGGCAAATTTGCTTCCAAAAACACCCCAAATGGGAGGGACCCCAGGCTTTTTTTTTTTTCCTTCTTTTTGTCAGGGTTTTTTCATTTTTTAAATTTTTTTCAAGGTTTGGGCCTCAATTTAGGATTTCAAGACCTCAAAGCCTCGCGTGGTTTAGTATCTCCACCTCCTCGTTTGTTAAGTGGAAGTCATTCATTTTGTTATTGAACCATCCTTATAAAAAGAAGAAACTTTTTATTTCTTAATGTTATGGGAACTTCGGGTGGGTGGGTATTTTTCGAAGTTCTAAACACAGAGCCTAAACGAGAAACTGCTCGACCAGGAGCTCTTGAACCCTAAACCCTAAACCCTAAACCCTAAACCCTAAACCCTAAACCCTAAACCCTAAACCCTAAACCCTAAACCCTAAACCCTAAACCCTAAACCCTAAACCCTAAACCCTAAACCCTAAACCCTAAACCCTAAACCCTAAACCCTAAACCCTAAACCCTAAACCCTAAACCCTAAACCCTAAACCCTAAACCCTAAACCCTAAACCCTAAACCCTAAACCCTAACTCCTAAACCCTAAACCCTAAACCCTAAACCCTAAACCCTAAACCCTAAACCCTAAACCCTAATCCCGAATCCCTAATCCCTAAACCCTAAACCCTAAACCCTCAAGACAAAATAGATAAAAATTGTATGTTGTATCATTCTGAGTTTTCAAGATATTTGTCTAAACAGCTGACATACAGAGTTTAAGTAAATCAATCCAAAGCGCCTGGGAGACCAAATGCTCAATTTACTTAAACCTCTGGGGCCAACTTAGGCTACACGTCAAGCCCACAAATGAGGC